CATGAATCGTTCAAAGATCACGGAATCCCACTTGAGCCAAAGTCGTACAAATTTCATGCAAAGGCAAGGAAAATGAGAGGTCTGAAGAGGGAGAGGGCAGTCGAAAAACAAAACACATGTCCAAGATATTTCAAGGATGTTCAACATGTTTCAGCTACTCCTTGAGCTCTCACCCGTGGTTCGAGACATTCTCGTCGCTGCCGACATCAGGACGATGCATCAATGATCATCAATGTCTATTGTGGTGTCAGTGTGTCAATGTAAGTAGAAGTTCCATGCATGGACCGCATGGAGTGTCTCTTTGATCCTTCTGAGGATGAGCCCAGCTCTGGATGGACTTGCGGCAGGTCAAGATCATGCCGAGCCCCCCGGCTGCAGCTCCGACAGCTTCTGCCTGAGGCGCGCCACCAAGGTGGGGTCGGGCTTGACGGGCGCCTGCAGCGCTGGAGTACCATTGGCGATGAGGGTAGTGGGTTCATGTGGGTTCTGGCAGTCCGCAAAGTAGAGGAATGTAATGATCATTGCATGAAAATCGGGCTGCGGTTTAGGGTCATGGAGTCATTCCCTCATTTTGTAGAAGTGATCAGAGTCAGTCACAAGAGACAAAACCCTGTATAGAGATGAACGGACTTCCCACCGCGCCCCAAATCCTCAATCCACTCGAAAACAAACGTCTTCTTATGTTTTCTTTGATTGGATTCGCAAAATCTCAACTTCTGAGGAGAAAAGTACAACTGGCCCATCAACAGGAGCAAGCCCCATAACATGCCATATCCATCCATATCCTACACTCTCACTGGCCTCACATGCACACCACAAAAGACAAACAAATACCCTCTTACATGTAACTATTTAGTAGGTTAAGGTCTCGTCCGTTAACGGAATTAACCAGACAAATCACTCCACCAACTATATAAGAACGGCCATGCACCACCACCCATAGAATCAAGAAAGAGCTATCAATCTGTCAATCCTTACTATGTCTGGACCTGGTAAGTTTCCCCGTGTTGAGTCAAATTAAGCCGCAGGCTCCACTCCTGGTGGTGCCCTTCCGTCAATTCCTTTAAGTTTCAGCCAACACTTGTGCATTCACTTGTCCACTTGTGTATGTCGGCCTCACTTGTGCATTCACTCGCAGGAGTGTCTAGCCAAGCAAAGTGGAGTCACCACACTTGCGAAGAATCACCCCAAAAGATTGAACCCCCGCGGGCACATGCTTCGCAGGGAGTTGTCGGAGGCATGGCCTTTGGAAGAATGAAGCGCAGGCGACTGACTCAAGCACTACATGACTTGACTGAAGCCCGTGCGACTTAACACAGTTACAGGTTTCTGGCAATACGGCAATAGTGCCAGTTCCACCCACCAATCTCCAAGATTTGAAACTGGGGAACCTTTAGTGTTCACTTGAAGTACACATATAGCAGTAAACACCTACAACACGTTTTGAAGAACTGGGGTAATTATATAGATTGGCAAATCAATCCTTGGATACTGTTGTACATGGAGGTTGATTCCACAAAATAAAGGTCACGTTGGGCCGGTCTGAGCCAATGGAGGAAGCATGGGTCTTTCATCATGGTTCATCACTTTCCATGTCTCTAGAGATTCCCATTCCAGCCACTCAAACTTAAAGGACTCAGACTGGACTCCTAGTAGCGTCCTTGCTCGTAGTAGTAAGGCCAGGAGCCCCGTTCGTAGCGTCCTCTGGCCAGACGATGCCGGCCTTAGGACTGAAGGGTGTCTGCGTCTCCTCAATGATTCCCGAGGAGCCACCGAAGATCTTCAGGCTGCTGGACAGCATCTGCCGCCTGACTCGTTCCCGCATCCAAGCAGAAACAGAAAACTAAATGGATTGTTTTAGCAAATCCTCACCAAAAACATATCAACTGCCTGATTGAAAAAAAAGAAACACAACGCTATATTAATTGAAGAGGATCTGCTTTTGTTGAGATTCCATGAGATTCCGTTTTGCCTGATCCATGAGATACCATGCGGAATAGGACCATGACCTGATTCCAAAAATCCTTGTCCAACAAATCAAGCCCCGCCTTTCTGGACGGCATTGGACATTACTGTAAACTATATAATATAGGTTCTTCAAGAGGGATGTCTTGCGGCAAGGGTCTTGGTGGTGAAGTTGCGTCAAGGGATCGAAGTCCAAACTGGAGAACTCCCTACAACAAGTTGGTCTCAACAGTGCTTTTTCTCGTTGTTTGTGTTTTCATTGGTTCAACGTGTCTCGTTTAAGCATCAATGTGTTTGAACTTTGGAGAAGGCTTTTTTGTCCGATTGTTGCCTCGGGTTTGGGAAATGCTAATTGATTGCACCTTCGTCAAATAAATATAACCAATCAACTGATATAACAAATATAACAAACTTAACTTAACCAATATAACTATATTAACATATAATATATATATATATTATTGTATATCGGGTTAAGCTTCCAAGCTGTATGGTCCAAAAATGGAACCTCAAAAGGAGTGCTGGTGTGTCAATTTCATCTCAGGTCTCTTGTCATGTTAATTTTGAGAAACACCAACAAAGCTCCCACAACGGCTCTGCCAGCGGGCCTGGAGCCTTCCTGCAAGGCCTCCCGCGCATGGCTGGAGAAGATCTGCAACAAAGGCATCCCTTCAGCATCCACAGCCACACAAAGCCCCCGCAAGATTTGCAGCATTCGCATGAAGAAGATGATGCAACGGGGCCAGTCCTACGTTCTGGTGGACGAGCAGCGTACTGGATGTCATGTACGGTGATGCACGGTTTGCCTCAAGATTCCTTCAGAGACAAGGGTAACAACGATGCTACATACTGTTACACACTGCTACTTTGGATTCCAAATGAATGTTGTTCCATAGTAGCTCTCCGGAGTTTTGATTCGATGAGGCGTAAATGATTGATGATAGCAGTTGGAGAAACGCTGCACAAGGGACATGTCGGTCAAAGGCTCGAGCACTTCAAAAGGAAGATATCTTGAAGGCATTGCCTGCTCCAACCAATCCAAGCCTTACAAAAGAGCAAATTCAATATTGGATAACTCTTCATGATCCGAGTTCCAACTTTTCAGGATTCCTGTCATGTCGTATCATGTGGCTGCCTCGCTCCTCCAAGAAATAGATCGGAGACATAGAGCCTTCCATCCCAGCGTCTTCTTTGGCTCGGTTTAACCGAGCCTTAAACTCTGCCAACTCCTCCCGCGCGTTCTCTCGGGTCTTGTGCCGATTGATGGTGTCCTCAAGGACGAGGTCCGGACGATAGAGGTTCGATGAAGCGATCTCGCAGATCACATCCCTTGGGAGTTCCAAAAAGCATGTAGTCTTCATATGATTTTCATATGTGTGAGTTTCGAGCCTCAAAACATGTGGTTCGCAGCTTCCGCAGCTTTTGACATGATGTCCGCTGCCACTCCGGTCGAATCCCCAAAAGGGGGCCCTCTTGAGCATTCATGACAAGCTACGCAAGTGAGAAAGAAGCGTTTCTTTGTTTTCGATTTCCGTCGAGCACTTCGAGCGGTTCGACGCCAAACACGTTGGATTCCACACTCCATACCTTTCGTGTTTTCACATTGGTAGCGGAGCCTGCCTAAAACGGCGGGCTCCGGCGACCGTGCAGCCATGTCCAGCCATGAGCGCGGAACCTCACGACCTCCAGCTGGATCGGCGGCAAATGGCGCCGGAAGCACCGGCAAGGACTACAAGGACAGCTTCATACCACGTTTTGAGAACACCACCGCCTCCTACCTAGAGTGGAGAACTAGAGTGAAGCTGTATGCCCGAAAGATGGAAATCCAAGGTCGCAAGGCCGAAGTCGCGCTGAACATTTTGTCAGTGCTGGAAGGTCCTTCATGGACTCAGTGCGAGGACCTGGATTTGAGCGAACTCGAGAAGGAAGGTGGACTCGACATCTTGCTCAAGCGCCTGGACAAACAGTGGGCCTACGACTCCAAAGTAGAGATGCCTACCCACTTCGAGAACTTTTTCTTCAAGATGCGGCGCAAGAGAGATCAATCGATCCTCGAATATGTCACAGAGTTCCACCAAACCCTACGGCAGATCTCCAAACACAGGATCGACCTCCCGGAAGAGATCACTGGCTGGATGATGGTGAAACGTGCAGGGCTGACCAAGGAGCAAGAACAGCTGATTCAAACTCATGTTGGATCATCGCTCACTCTACCGTCCGTTGAACAAGCCCTATACCTCATCCTTGGTCAAGATCATCGCCATGTTCATGTACCAGCACACCTCCGAAAGCCGCAGATGACTGGTCGTTGGAAGCGGCAAGGACAGCAGGTCTTTTGGGAGGACGACCAAGAGAATGAAGAGATATATGAAGATGATGACGTCTTCTACCAGGACGCCCATGAGTATGACATCGAGACCCAGGAACCTGTTGGTGAATGGCAAGAATATGAGCCCGATGAGACCTACTACCATGACGAACCCGATGATTTGGACTCGATGTTCGACACCCAAGAATTTGATGAAGTGTACAGCACCTATGTTGACGCCAAGAACCGCCTCAACCAACTTCGTCAGAGCAGAGGATTCTACCCGGTTGTCGCAGTGATGGATGGCGGAAAAGGTGGACAAGCACCTGTGATGGCTCAGTCTCCCTTCAAGGGCAAGTCGAAAGGTGCTGGAAAGTCCAAATCACCTTCCAAAGGTTCGAAAGGCAAGACCTCCACGGCCGGAAAAGGCCCAAGCGGCAAGGCGAGAGCTCGCTCAGCCGCTGCCAACTGCCCGACATCTCAGAGAACAGGCTCCAGCTCCCCGAAGAAAAGGCCAGCAGAAGATGACGCCATGGTGCACTTGGCACTTCACATCTCCGAGCCCTATGACCATGAAGAGTTCTTTGATGTTGAGGACTCCTATGATGTTGAGGACTCCTATGATCCTGAGGTCTTCTATGACGTTGAGGAGGCCTACACACAAGGTGAGACCTTGGTCAGGGCCGGTGGCTGGCTCACTCACGAACCCGACATGTGCATTCAAGATCAAGGAGCCTCGTCCTTCCTGGCAGGCAGCGAGTACATCCTTCGCTATTTGAAATGGCTTGAGCTCATCGGCTACCCCATGGAAGACATCGCCTTCAAACGATGTGACAAGTCATTCCGCTTTGGAGGTGACGCCGTTGGTCACGCAAGATGGATGGTTGAACTCCCAACCCGCCTGGCGGGTATTTCAGGCCATCTTCAGGCCTATGTGATCTATGGAGCAACTCCGATGCTCTTTGGACGACCTCTCCTTGAAGCTCTTCAAGCGGAGGTTGACTTTGGCAGAGGCAAAATGCGCCTTCTTCAGCAAGAACCCTGGCGGGACATCCCAAGAGGCCGTCAGGGAGCCATGCTTCTTCGCCTGGCTGAGGAAGTGAATGACTACACGGACTTCAAACCCGTGAACTTCGACCTACGTTGTGAGGACGACCATCAGCACGCCCTCAAGATCCATGACTTCCTCGAGGACCTCAATGCTCATGAACGGTTCTTTGAGATGACAACTGAAGTGAATGCCTACTGCGAGGCATGTGAAAAGGGTGACTATGTGCAGGACACCACCTACATGGAAGTGGACCAAGAAGAAACGGTGGAATCCCTCCGGAAGCCTCCACCAGGTCAGTTGAACAACTTGAGAAGCTCTTCACCATGTTTGAAGCCCAGAGCGCTGACCAAGGAAAATGGCTAAAACAGCAGATCCACCACGCCCGAGAACACGGTTTGGCCAGAAGAAAGCGCTTGATCTGGGAAGTCTACGCTGGTGAAGGCATGATCTCCCAACTGCTCAAGGACCACGGCGATGTTGAGGTCATGCGCTTCGGACTCCAGGATGGGTGGGACTTCAGCAAAGCATCTCACCGAAAAGAACTTCTCCGTCTATGTGACGACCTGGAGCCCGACGAAATTTTCATGTCCCCAAGATGCACCTTGTGGTCTCGCATGCAACAGGTGAACATCCACAACGAAGTACAAGCACACGATCTCCATGAACGGCGAGAAGTCGATCACGCCACTCATCTGGCAATGTGCAAGAAGCTATACTACAAGCAAGTCCGCCGAGGAGATCATGCACATGTGGAGCACCCTGCATGGAGCTTAGCGTGGGACACCAGGAACTTCAAGAACCTGCCCGGCCACAGAGCGATCTTTGATCAATGCGCTTATGGCGCCACGGCCGAAGCAGATGACGGCTCGATGTTACCCATCAAGAAAACCACTCGCCTACAGACTACAAAGTGGGCTATGTATCAGTTGATGTCCAAGCGGCGCGATGGCCTACATCACCACCAGCGACTAGAAGGTCGAAATCGATGCCGAAAAGCTGAAGACTACCAGCAAGAGCTAGCTGCCACCTTGGTTCATGGCTTGCTCGTCAATGAGGGGCTCAACGAACAAGTATATGCAGTACATGATGATGACAAGGCCCTCACTGGAGTTCTTCGAAAGCTTGGCACCACCCATGGCCATGAAGCTGCAAGGACCGCCCTTCGGTTGCATCGAAACCTTGGACACCCTCGAAAAGAAATTTTGTTGAAGATGCTCAAAGATCGAGGTTGCAACAAAGCAGTACAAGCCGCTGTACAAGATTTGCATTGCCCATACTGCGAGATCCACTCTGTCAAGAAAGGCAACGCTCCAAGTCATTTGGATCGCCCTTCAGAGTTCAATGCACAGCTGCAAGCCGATGTTCTCTGGCTTGAGATGGATGAGATCGGCATGCTCTTGGAACCAGGTCACCGAAAGCAGCGTGCAAAGAAGATCGCAGTGCTTGTGATGGTGGATGTAGCTACGCGCTACATGGCGGCTCGAACAGTTGTTGATGAAAAAGGCCCAACTCTGCAAAAGGCCTTGGAGCGAGCATGGATTCAGTTCCACGGTCCGCCAAAACAGCTCTACACCGACGAAGGCACTGGATGGGCATCTGATGCCACTGCAACTTGGTGTGAACAACATGATATCGAACTTCGAATTGCACCCGGTCAAGCTCACACCCGCACCAGTGTCGTTGAACGTCGTCATCAGCTGGTTCGAAAAGCAGTGTCCATTTTCATGATGGAGAATGAGTTGAAGGGACTCGACGGTGTTCACCAAGCCCTTGCTTGGATAGTTCCCTCCATGAACAGCAACACCTTCGTGAATGGTTTCACGCCAGCACAGCTTGCTCTTGGCCGAGAACCTTCTATGCCTGGACTCCTCTCAGACGAACGCACCGGGCCATTGCAGTTGCAAATGACAGAGCAGGAACGTCTCCATCGAAAATTAAGCATGAAGTTCTCAGCACAACAAGCGTGCGGCAAAGCAGAAATTGATGTCAAGTTGCGCCGAGCACTACTTCGTCGGTACACCGGCAAGGACGAGGACCTCTACCCAGGAGAGAGATGTCTCTATTGGAGAGATGCTGCTGACAAGGCGCACACCATTAGGTGGAAAGGTCCGGCCATCATCCTCGCGGTCGAGCGCAACCCTGATACCGGCACTGTTGCTTGCTATTGGTTGGCCCATGGCACTGTTCTCCTCAGGGCTGGCGCTCAGCACGTCAGGAAGTTAGTCAACGACAATGGCATGGTTGACGGACCCTCCAGAGTTCAACAAGCTCTTCACAACCTGAGGCAGCGCAGAGCAGTGCGAATCATCGACCTTCGCAAGTCCAACAAAAGATCCATCGATGAGATTGATCCTGAAATCAGTGACATGGAATACACTCCCACTGACACTGAGGCACCACCACTGACAATGTCTTCTCCGGTGCAATCAGACGGACATTCCGTCGGATCTCCTCAGGAAACACCTTCAGAGCAACAGCATGCAGCAACAGAGCAACAGCACACATCAGCAGCAGCAGAACCACCCCCTGCTGCAGTACCGATTGCACCACAAGCACAGGCAACAGCATCAGCAATGCTACCAGCAGCAGCACTGCAACCGGCACCTCAACCAGAGGAACAAGCAGAGACACGACGACCACAGCTACTGGAAAGGCTGATAGATGATGAAGATGAAGAACAGCCTATGGATGAACCGTCACACATGGAAACGCCAATGGCACCGCCTGATCCGTCAAGGCTACCTCCAGTTCCGGAGGATGATGATCTTGAACGGCCAGCCGAACTACCTCCAGAAGCCTCATCCTCAGCTTCAGCTCCCATGGTGGACTCATCCTATTTGCCTCCCAGCACGGCTGAGACCTTCCAAGATCGAAGAAGAAGATTTGACCAGCAAGAAACAATCTGGGCTCGCAAGAAAGCCAAAACAGATGCCGGAGACATCGAAGTGGACCTCCACTCCTTCGACTTTGGCAAATCCACCAAGCTTCCCGAAGGATGGCACTACGACGAGAAGAACAATGAGTTCATCCTCGGTGAAACGAAGGATTGGTGGGGCTTTGAAGATGGTTTCCTGGTCAGAAATCATGTATGGGGCAGAACAACCACATATCATCCTGAGCAGTTCCCCATCTCCAAGGATCTTCTACAAACAACCACCGGTTTGTCGATGCAGAAAGGATCCCGCACTATCTATGTCAACTCACCTGATGAGCAGCACTTCAATGAAGCTTGGACTGGAAAGACACTTTACACACTCACCCAAGAAGGTGCACGGCAGTATGGTTCGCTCTACATCGGCGACATGTCCAGCAAGCTCCAGCGCTGCAAGACTCTTCGCGGCCGTGGCCACATCTGGCAAGCGGTCGGAGCGGGAATCCCCAAGAAGAAGAATGTGAAGGAAAGTGCTGATCTCAGCGAACGTCGCATGACCTTGGAGGACAGGCTCGCATTCCTTGAAGGCAAAAGAGCCGAGTTGACCAGCATCTTCGAGAATGGCGTCTGGGAGATTGAGATGGATCCCACCGCGGTTGACCACAACAGAGTGATGAAAGCTCGCTTTGTCCTGAAATGGGCTTCGGATGGAAAAGGTGGTTTGAAAGCAAAAGCCAGACTCGTACTCCAAGGATTCTCCGATCCTGACCTTCTTCAAGGATCACTTGACACGTCATCCCCGACTTTGGCACGAACTTCAAGACAAGTGCTCCTGGCCATCAGCCAGGTCAGTCATTGGGGAAGATGGACGGCCGATGTGTCCACAGCTTTTCTCCAAGGAGATCCTCAAGAACGCACCTTGTGGGCCAAGATTCCAAAAGATGCCTGCGAGATCATCGGTGTGGCTCCTGGAACCTTGATGAGGTTGATCAAGCCAATATATGGCCAGGCTGACGCTCCAAGACAGTGGTTCATTGTCGCCCGAAGACGCCTGGAGAACCTTGGCTTCAGGGCTCACGCCTTGGATCAATGCCTCTATACCTTCCACGACTCCAACAAGCAACTGATCTCTCTGGTTGGTCTACATGTTGATGACCTACTAGGTTGTGGAAAAGATGGCCACCCTGAGTACGAAAGTCTCAAGCTGCAATTGAAAGATGCCTTCAACTTCAAGCACTGGACTGAGGAGACCGAGGACAAGCCTCTTGAATTTTGTGGATGCCACCTCAGTCGAACAACCACGGAATCCAAGCTGCATCAAGCCGAATACCTCAAAGGAGTGAAACCGATGACATGCACCGACTATGACTCCAATCGCAATCTCAACTCCAAAGAGCAGAGCTGTCTTCGAGCTTTGTTGGGAGCACTTCAATGGCCAGCTACACAGACATCTCCACACCTCAGCGCTTCAGTTTCTTTGCTATGTGGAGAGGTCACCACGGCAACTGGAGAGACAGCATCCCAGGCCAACAAAGTTCTCAGATTCGCCAAGTCCAACGGCGATACAGCATTGATCTTTCGAGATCTTGGAGGCGATATGGAGTAGTTGCGCATGATAGCCATGAGTGACGCAGCTTGGGGAGTGCGCAGAAACAACGAATCACAGGGCGGCTACTTGATTTTTCTTTGCAACCAGCAAGCGCTGGAAGATGGCTCCACTCAGGACTATATCATCCTGGACTGGCGCAGCTTCAAGCTGCCTCGGATCAGTCGATCCTCCCTCAATGCCGAAAGTCAAGCTTCATCTGCAGCAATGGACGCTCTAGAATATCTTTTGATTTTTTGGGAAGGCTGCATCCGCTACGACTTTCAGCTTCGCCAGGTGGATAGCTTTGTTCCTGAGATGCCTTCGGCATTGGTCGTGGACGCCAAGGCCCTGTACGACTCCTTGAAGGCCCAGACTCCTAGCCTCCAGGGTGACAAGCGCACCAAGATCGAGGTCATGGTGACAAAGCAGAAAATGGTGGGAATGAAAACCCGCCTGAAGTGGGTATCGTCGGAAGCCCAAATCGCCGACGGAGTCACCAAGCACAGCGCAAGACAGTTGTTTGCAGATCGACTACGATCTCATTGCCTTTCCCTCCAGTCCGACATGACCTTCCAAGCGGCCAAGAAGAAGTCGCAAGCAGAAAGGCAAGCAAACTCGAGAAGACACGCCATTGCAAGAACCGGCAACTCAAAGCAGCTAGCATTTGCAGTTCTCACTTCACAAATGATGGGTGTGAAAGCCATGGCAGTTGAGGAGACCTTGGCATTCCTCCTCTCCCCTGAAGTGACCCTAGCGCTCTATGTCATTCTCTTCGGCATGTTCATTTGGCAGTGCTTCAAAGTTTCTACATCACTGAACCCTCCGGTTACCAGGTCTAAAGAGTTGAGCACCACCACCTCGAGCTCTTCACAAGTCGGAACCCAAACCGACGTAGAGACAGAAAAGATGATTCGCCTCTTCCGAGATGAAAATGTGAGACTCCAAGACATCACCAGGGATCAGGAGGCGGAACTCTTTGAACTCCAGGCGCAGTGCACAGCGCAGGAGGAAGAGTTGAGTGAAATGATTGAAAAGGTTGAATTTTTGAAAAGGCAGCTCACCGAAGCGGAAGAAGATTTGCACAAGTCCAACTTTCAGTGGGCAACCCTCCAGCAAAGGTTCGTCAATCTGAAGAATGAACTTGAAAACGACTACACACCAAGGGTCGTATGGACGGCCAAAAGAGGAAAGTCATTCCACACCTCCCTGGAATGTCAGGGATTGGCTTCAGCTGACAGAGATCAGCTAAAAGGTTGGGACTCTTGCGCATTTTGCGCTACAGAAGCTCTCTTGAAATGGAGACGCCTGTAAGCAACCACCGGTGTGAGTTTCGAGCCTCAAAACATGTGGTTCGCAGCTTCCGCAGCTTTTGACATGATGTCCGCTGCCACTCCGGTCGAATCCCCAAAAGGGGGCCCTCTTGAGCATTCATGACAAGCTACGCAAGTGAGAAAGAAGCGTTTCTTTGTTTTCGATTTCCGTCGAGCACTTCGAGCGGTTCGACGCCAAACACGTTGGATTCCACACTCCATACCTTTCGTGTTTTCACAATATGTCTTCCGAAGGCTCATCATTCTAGGCGGAGCTCCAGAGCTTCAAGTCCAAAAGAACCTTGCTGGAGCCTCCAATCCTTCCAAAACTGGGCCGGTCGTCCTAAATAACGGCCCCCGGAACCTCGTCCCTCCCCGTCCTTGACCACACCTCGAGCCTTCTCAATGAGATCCCGCTTGAGATCATCGTTCACGAGCTCTTGCCGGAGGCTAAACCCCAAGGACTCGAGGACATCAAAAAGCCCCGCCTGGGACAGCTCCGTGGATGTCACTTTCAGCGGACACAATGGCCGAAACAAGACCACGCACCAAGTGTCACCAAGTGGTCAGGTGCTTGAGACAAAACCTTGAAACAAGAACTAAACCATAATAAGAAACCCGTGTATTTATATTACATAATTTATTACATAATATAAAATACAGAATATACAGAGGTATACAGACTTATCCTATCTTAAATATTATCTTGTGCACTCTAATGCGCGCATGGGATTAGGTGCAAATGTATGCAAATCTTATCCGTTCATCAATGTTTGCAAGCCGAGCAGCGATGTCAAAGTTGGCCAAGGAGTGGAAGACCTGAACGAGAAATCTTCCAGGAATTCCAATGTTTGGGGAGGGTTGTTCTTCCACATATCTCCGCATGATCCACTCACTGGTTCGGTCCTCAAAAGGCACAGGGCGCTTCTTGTTTTGTGGCGACCCCAAGATTCCCCAGGGGCATGGAGGCATCAGTGGGTGAGAAAATGGTCGCAGTTTGTGAAGGCAGTCGGTCGCTCGCCCTTCCTGCACAAGACAGAAAAAAAGACAAGGAGCAAAGGTGCACCACGAAGAGCACAAAAGGGTCTCCAAGACCCGCTTGAACATCAAATGGGGAGATCGAATCATGGAGGAAGAACAGGAAGAATGAGGAGCAGGATATTCATCGCCAGTGACTGCCAGCAACAGGGAAGTGGCATCACAGGGACAGGGAGAAAACCCTGTCCCAAACGAATGGAAGCCGTGGCGCCTGTCTCAAAAAACATCCCAACTTGGAACTCCATAACTCACGTGTTCCCTTTGCATCTATTCCATTCTATTCCCACCTCCTTATGATGGCTTGTGACTTCAGTCGCCCCATCTGCTCCTCACTCCACTCGCTCCGGCCTTCGCCAGGCCTAACCGCTCTGCGTCTGTAATCTCCCGAATGAGGCCCCAATCCTGACCGCACAGTGGGTCCATCGGGGCAGAAACTGCTCCTTTTGTGGAATCAGCTGCATCTATTGCTTGGATATATTAGATCTCAAACCTGCATAGTATACTCTGCAGAACAAAACAGACTGTCCATCCATTTCTCTTAAACAACTCATTCATCGCGCCGTTGCCACACACACACACACTGATGCCACACCCAGGCGCCAAGAGCACCGGCTTCGCGCCGCCCGGGGCGGTGGGATCCACCACGAGGCGCACGTTGCCCGCGTGGGGGTCCGCGTGGAACATCCCGTCCTCCGGAGACGGGCGAACGAACGAGCGCGGGGGGAAGGAGCTCCAACTGTTGGAATGGAACAGGATGAACTCTACTGATCATTCTCGTGGAGTTGAATTATGAGATTCTCTCGAACTTGGAGATATGCGACTTGTTTTGCACCAGTTGGACTGGGATCCCAAGGCATGACACTTGCAGGGCGAACTCCGCGGAACAGCGATTCGTGGTTCATGCAGGAAAATGTCCGCAGTGCAAACCACTGTCACACGAACACGTTGGAACAGGACCGAACCGATCCAATAGCAACAAAACTAGCAACAATTTATCATGTAAATTTATATAATATAATATACAAATAGTATTGATTTCGGACGTACCCGTGGCCCGTGTCCAAGCAACAAAAACACCAAAATCTCCCATATTATCCCGTCAATTCCCGTTGTCTCTCCCCATGTGTACGAGTGCCAGACAAAATATTTTATCTAGCCTAATTAGCAATGGCCTAGAACGGGTCGGCATGCAAGTGTTGGTTTACTGTTAAGGGCATCGGTAGATGGATCGGCCCCTTTTGGTTTGCAGGTTTACTGCAGGTTTCCTCTCCCACGTCCACCCTGTAAATACTCTCTATATATAGTCAAGTCTTTGCAGATTTTGTTGGATAGACTTGACTATAGAGACTGAACTTAACTAGAATACTCGTTCGTCTTCCTGAGACTCCAGATCATGGCCTCGTTCGTCTTCAATACTCGTTCGTCTTCAGAATGAGTCCATCGTCCTCTCTTACGACTTGTCGCGCCTTGAAGGCCATGATGCCAAACGCGTGAAGCAGCTCCGTCAGCACTCGGTGCTTGTCGATGTGGTGCTTCGCACAGAACTCCGCCTGCCACCGAACACGTTGTGGAGGCCGACTCAGGACTCAGTCGGCCTGCGCTAGGCACTGCGAAATGGTTGGAAACGTGACACTTGAAAAGGTCCAGGTGTGGTATGCACAGCTGAGTGTGATTGGTTTCAACCGTTAGAAGTCTTGCCATGGAACCACCTCAAAGATTCTGCGATCCGGCCCGCCAAGCCTTGCCCAAATCTAAGATCGGCCCAGCATCAATGAACTCCATGACAAAGACATGTGCACCTCGTTCGTGGCGCGCGTTGGTTCGGCGCGTTTGTTCGGCGTCGCTGTTTACAACTGTTAGCTCAAATCTCACAGACTGTCTTTGGCTAATCTGCCCCGCCCTATTTGGCCAAACCTCTGACTTGGGATTTGAGCCAAGAGCCTTGAAGGGATGCAACAACCGGCCAAACAGGGAAAATTACGGGAACACTTGGCTCAAATGTTGAGACCATTGCTTTTGGCCAACAAGTCCAGAGGATAGCACCTAAGAAAGCCCAAAAGCGCCGTTCGCCACCTGCCACCAACTTGGACCGACCTTTCCACTGCAAATCACCTCACCCGAAGTCTGATCGATTCCCCGAGTGCCGAAGTCCAGATCGATTCCCCGAGACCAAGGCACCACAAAGCTCATGGTGGACCTCCGGCACGATGCAGCAGTTCCCAGCCTCACAGTGGACCCCTCCGTGTTGGTTCCATCCTGATATCCTTTTGCAAGGGGATTTCAGCATACGTCCGAGCCCACCCCAATGGCGGGATCATTGACCGGTCAGGTGACAACTAAAGCAGGGATTCAATGATTAATGATTCACTGAGTATGTTAATCAGCAGCGCGCGGCGGCACCACTTGGCAAAGGGACATCTACTGCAAGGATGCACCAGAAATCAGTGTTATCTTCCGGGTAAGGAGGCTTAGCTTGCCAAGTTCAGGATTACAACTTACAACTATTGTAGTAGCCAGTGATTCTGCTTCATGACTTTCAGTGGCAAACTGTTTTCTAGGCGAATTGGTTGCATCCTCTGGGCAATTTCTTGTGTTTCGAGGTCCTGCAGTCGGCCCTTGGAGGTCCAAGCGGGAGCTTTCTCCCCATCAGATCCAACCAACAGCGTACCTCAGGAAACTAACTTCCTCTATATACTACTTCCACTCACACCAAACGTCCTGGATTGGTCTTAAAGACAACGTCCTGAACAATGGTTCCCCGGAAGCAACGGTTCCCCAGACGAGCTAACCCGCCCGAGCGAACGTCCGGAGCTTCTTTCCAGCGCGGCCTCGCGGAGCTTCTTGCCCGCGCGCTCCAGCGCATCGTGCTCATGGCAAAAGTCCAGCTCCCGCGGCAAGGACTCTCGCCACTCCTGGAAAAGGAGGACATGTGTTTGGATCGGTTCGGACACAATCATATTGGGTCTATCAAGAGATCGTTCGTGCAGTCCAAATAAGCGCTGGGTCTGCCTCAAGGACTTCATATGCTTCATTAGGAAAGGGGGCCTCGTTGGAGTCCGGATACTGAACCAAAGGCAGGCCCCGTTGCAATTGCCACCAGCCTTCCCTGTGTCACCAGCTTTTCCCTTGTCGCCCCTGCCTTCTTGATAGATCATACGCAACCATGTCCCCAGTATTCTGCCTATTCATGAATTCAAATGTGCTACTGGTCTCTTTCTTCCTTCCTTCCTTCCTTTCTTTCTGTTGTTCGGTTCTGTTCTGTTCTTTTGCCTCTCTCTCTCTCACTCTCTTTCTTTCTGCCCAGTGCCACTCCCTCTACAGTGGAGTCTCCTCCGCGAACTTCCGGAAATCCAGATCCGGTGCCCAGTAAGAGACCTACTCAGCCGGTCCACCAACATGTTGACATCATGTGAATCCCGCACAAGGCGAAAGGAACATACACTCTGACGGAACACATCGCATGGAAGTGGATGTCATAGTCCCCTTGGAAGACGTTCTTTCTTTTATGAACGAATGGTTTTCCATGTTTTTCCACCTTCCATGCGACTAAGTGGGAACATATGCTCTTTCCCAACCCATCCACCCCGAATCGAAGCGAAGGAGAAGCCACCGTTGGCGGGGTGGATTTTGGACCTCTAACGCGATCTGCTTTCATTGAGATAAGGAGCAACTGCATTTCCGGAAAAGAGTTCTGTCTTCTAACAGCCGGTCTGTTCACATAAATAGGTGTCTTCCACAAAGCAGGCCATAGGATTCCCGTTTTGAATCTGAGCTCCAAGCTTCCAAAACAAACCTTGTATGTACATATATGATATTATATACTATATCCATCCCCCTGCCAATTAGGGTGGTGGGGTCGGGGCCCCCATTCTGTAGTACAACAGAACTGGGGACCCAACATCACAAATTTACATGCACTATATATTTTGCAAGGACCCAACCCTGCTTCTCTACAAAATGCTTAGACCCAACATAGATAGTATCATATAAGAAACAGGAAATCTGCACTACAAAAGTGGTGGGACCCAACCTCTATGTTGTCAATGTTTTTGACTACAAAATGGTATGAATCCGATTTTGAGTCACCAACATGGCTGCAGAAATTTGCACTACATTATGGACGTACCCAACATCGGATATAATCATCTTGAAATGACAAATCTGCACTACAAAATTGCAGGGACCCATCCTCTATATCTCAGCATCAAGGCCTTGCGCTACAAAATCCTCATCTCTACAAAAAGAGGTGCCTCAACCTCTTTCTTTTGCAACATATTACATAAAAACCTCAACGTAGTGGACTTGAGACACCCCATTTCATACAGGAAATCGGAACGGGGATCTATATCCTTTTAAAATTGATTGACACGATTCCTGCAAAACATGCTGCGGCCACGACCGTGCTCCACTTTGACTCCTCACCTGCTCGGCCACGGCCGTGAGGGTCTCGATGTCCTGGACATCGGCCACGGCCGTCGACGACCAAGCGAGCTATCGGATAGAGCGGGTACGACCAGGTACGAGCTACTACCAGTAGGTCTATCTTCTGTGGCTAACTTCTACGAAAATTCTGAAATGTCTATATATCTTCCAGCTGGAGATAGTCAAATGAGGTCTTGAAAAATGTGAACTAGTGGTGTGTGTGCTGTGTGCGTCTGTGTCATGTCTACCAAAACATTTGAACTGAGATGTGTTTGTTGAACTTCTCAGCAACTACAGTAAATGATCCTCACATCAATTCCCACTGGCTTACAGTATTACATAGTATATACTAGTGCGGGGTGGCTTGGTCTTGGAAAGTGCATTCAGAATTCAAGCTTCCGACCCAAATATAACTGTTCTAACTATAGTGATCGACTCATTGAGCTGTCACAGCCAATATGCAGCTCCTCCAGGAAGATTCGGTCTACACCATCGTGCTGGACCTGAGTGTGACATGCAGATTCGACTTACTTCAGCTTGGTCTAGGGAGTCAGGGAGTTGAGGTTAAATGATCGTCAAACATATGCCTGCTGCCAGAAAAGGCAGTTTATGTAATGCATTTTACGAATCGAAAGGAACAAAGGCGCAGCATGGCGCAGCGAATGCAAATGTGGTGCAACCACGGATGTCAAAAGTCGAAGCACTTGCTCGTGTGAACATCGAGATGCAGAAAAGTAAGCGGCAAACCAAGAAAAGGAAAAGCACTCTGGCAATCACCATGAAGTCACTTAGGGCACTTAGGTATTTCCCAACACTCACACGACCCCCCCCACACACCCATCCTCCGGTCATTCTCCTCCCATCCTGGCCCGCCTTCACGGCCACGATCTGGTTTGTGGACCGGAGCCGGGCCTTGTGCACCTGCGCAATGGAGGCCGAGGCCAAGGGCTCGGGGTCGAACTCCGAGAAGATCACCTGCCGCTGGGCTGGCGCATTCCGCTGGCCAAGCCGTGGAGGATGGAGGATCGTGGAGGTGGGCAGGTGAAGTTGTGACTGGGCATCGATGTGCAGGATGCTGGGGAGGTGAAGATGGAGACATGAACGTGGCTGGCTGGCGATCAAGTCACCTCTTACCTGCTATCATCGACAGCCCTCCCAAAAGGACGAACACCTGAAACACCTGAAATCACCTGAATACTTTACACATATATTCTTGTGCCATGTTCAAGTACACCCTGGTTTGCTCGGTCAAAGACTTGCCCCCGAACACCCCGTCTTCTTGTAAGGAGTAAGGAGTCGCACTGCCCGTCGGAACTTCTGAACGCCTTGGGCGGCTTCTGGAAGGTCCGCTGGATGATCCGGTAGACCTCCTCCAAACGGCTCACGGGCAGGTGATCCGTGAGCGACAGGAACTCGTTGGTGAAGGCGTCGGGCAAGGTGCCCACCATCGCGCTCATGACCTACCAGGTTTGCCAAAGGTATCTGACAAGGAAAGACAGGTAAACAGTACCAGGCTATCCACAAAAAAGTATGTATATTATAGTACTGCCTCTACTCTACTCGCACTGCTACTACAAGAATCTACTACCATTACTTGTCGGAGGCTGTTGGGCAGTAGCATGCAGTAGCCATGTTTGTTTGGACATGTTTTAAACACCAGCAAACCTCCAATGGAAGATGCCCGCGCTACTTGCTTGGACTTTCAAAAAAGGCCAGGGCCGTATGCCAGGCCACTCATTACCATGAAAAGGACTCATTGCTTTCATCACATTGGGAAGCCAGGCCTGCCCAGCTTTGATGAAAAGGCCCTTGGCCTCCTCCGCATGCAAGCGCAGCTCGCGGGCACTAATTGTGTGGCCTCAAACCACTCTATGCTTCATTCTGCTGGGTTCTATCCGTTGCGAGACAAGTCCACATCCGGCAACGGCTAGATACCATGCATGAAGCTAAAATCAGAATGCACACATCGAAACAGCCTCATCCCGCTCTCCAGGAAACGGGTGCAAGATCTTTGCCTTTCAGAAGATCTCTTGGAGCGAGGTGTGTTTTAAAAATTTTACACATTGGTCATCATTGAGTCTGCGGCAATCTTCGCAGCTTAGCAGTTGATTCAGTTCGATAAATTTGAATCATTTCATTCAATAATGGTCATTTAGACTCTAGACCTTTGAGGATCAGGACCATGGTTGAGGCAATGTGTGTGTAGCAGTTTCCCATACAGTAGGTTCTATACTCTACAGACTTATGCTCCGTCCATTGCTACTTCTTCATTGATGGCGAATATCTATCAATCAACCAAAGGCCCCCCACTGTATCATTCCAATCAGTTGGTACAGGACACAAGACGCAAAATCTGAACAAGACACCACATCGACAAGCTGAATTGCGTAGGTTAAACTGCACCCAACACCATCCAACTCGTTTCAGTTGAGCCCACGTGTTTGAGCCGAGCAACACTCAACCCACTGCTTCTCTCGCTCTGGACCTTCGGGCAATCCCTCAGTGCGCTCCTGCCGTGGAGCAGTGGAGTGGTACAGTGTGTGCTCAGTTGCTTATTCATCATGGACTGCAAGGCAATCTTGCCGAAAAAGAAAAGATGTTTTGTCATTGTGTGTACATCTTTTTGGTATGCCTGTAGCAAGGCACATATCGGGCCAATCCACTGCTAAGTATGAATGAGCAAATCACTGCAAATCTAAACATACCAGTCCCCATGGGCTTGGTGCCAGCTGCCAGCATACTTGTTGCATCTGGTCGATTAAAGGGAAAGGTGCTTCCCGTGAAGCATCTTTTGCATTTCTTGCATCAACAGCTGGCCACCTGCTTCTGGAAGGCACAGGACCGCTCGATACTCGATACCCCAAACATGGTTAGACGACTCGTCCTGAACGCCTTTGTAGCGGAAGTACACCGTTCGCATCAGCCTCAAGCTTCTTTTCCAGCAGGGATGATTGTTATAATATAAGGAGTCAAGGTGCAAACACAACTGTTGGTGAAACCTGACCTGTGACCCCTGATGAATTGAATGGAATTTGATGGAATTTATATATATATATGAAATGATCTAATCAATCGGGAACCATTTTGGAAGAACATATTTCATCCACATCTCCAATCCCTTGTACCGCACGGTTGGGGTTGATGATGTACAGTAGTACCTTCCAAAATCACAAACCACACCAAAAACCAGCCTAGCCTGCACATGTTTTTTGATGCTATGACATTTAGTGAGTATATAGTGCTTCAAACTGCTTATTCTGCTTCAAAGAAACCACAGAGTCTTCCATCGCCGTCGCTGGAAGTCCCACCACGTCAAATCTGCAGTGTCCCAAATCACCTTCCTGTTGCTGTCGTCCTGTTGCTTCACATGTCCAACGATTCAACGGCAGCGAAAAATTGGCGTCATGGTTTGAACATCCCAATTTGTCGAAGTGAATGGACAAGATGAAGTTGTGAAGAAACACCAGGTCCTAGCCATTCTGGTGAGTCAAACGCTGGACCTCCATGCGTTCAATTTGGATATCTTGTAACCTCATGCGAAAGCTGTTCTAAGCTTTACGCAGCAGCACAATGCGATAGCCATGCCACTTGAGAGAGAGAATCCTACAAGCTGTGCACTCTGCACACCATAAGTTCTGTGCTGGAGGAGTTCAGCTTAAAACAAGTGTGGCGCCTGCAGTAATGACCTAAATTGGACATTGCACATCCTAAACTGACTGAGAGGAACAAGTATCGATGGAAACACTCGTGAAGAATGTGTGTTGAAACATGCGTATTCGTTTCGCGAAAGTGTTTTTGACATCAGGACACATGTTTCACTTCCGTGCTTCAGGCCAATTAACTCGGTCAGCTTCGCTGGCGTCATGCCCCGTCCTCCTCCACAGTGCCTGGCGGCTGTGGCATCAGAACCTTCTCATTGGGCTTCTGACGCATGGCGCAGCATGCAAAGCTGGAGCCCAGCGCGCTGCGCTTGGGCTCCGGCCTCGCTTGAAGGCCACAGAAACCAAATGACCAAACGGACAGGACATATTGACCACACCCATCTTCCTTTCACAACAACCGTTGCAAACAGGTTGCATGACCATAGCTTGAATAATGAGCTCTTCCAGAGTAACACTCCAAAGTACATGGGGAACATATTGAAGATGGGGACTGATGTTGAAGGCACTGTTCTCTCTTAGAGGTACGCGGTCCTTTTAGCAGAAATGGCTTCCACTTGCCATCTAAACCCAGCCTAAAGGCCAAAACATCCAAGACGCTCATACTGCCAGTGAGAGGAAGCCAATGGCGCCATCGCATCGTCACTTGCGGAACGGGCCATTCTGTTCAGGATTATATGACTATCCGACTATCCTCTCTGAGCATGTGGGGCAATTTTCCCGAAAGCTTTGAGACTGGAAGACAAGAGCTTCAACACGTTCAAGCTGGAACCGCCTTCATGGCCGAATCCCACCCGAAGGAGTTCCCCAGAAAATGTCAGAAAACCAGTAATACAACTCCAAAGGACAGCTTGGACTGATCTGATCTACTATCTCCAATGTGTTTGTGTGTGCCCCGTGTCCCCATGATTTGGTCAATTCCATGAGTGGTTGGGCTGCGAATCCTGCGAATTCCATTCCTCAAGCCATATTCGCGCTTGTTGGCAAACATACGGGCACGTAGAAATGACATGAGAATCTATTGATTCCAACAGTCCAAAACCATTGCAAAGATGTATAGCTGAAAGTATCATTTGCAGGATCAGAAATGATTAAAGGCACCACCATGACGTAGAGGACTGTCACCAAGAAATACACGTCCAAGGTAGGGGCCAAGAAGAGCCAAAGTGACAGTTCAACGGTTTGGGGGTTGCACACTTTCAAACTCCAGTTTTACATACTGTAGATGGGCTGATCTTGAAAGACTTGTAATTTCTGTCTGCAACGCAACCATTCACCTTTCGCATCCTAACAGCCTACGTGCAACCTGGCACTCTCCGTGCATGGCATCGGAAGGGTTCAACAGCGACGTCTGACAAAATCTCAAACAGAATCTGAAGATATCTTGGGAAAACTACAATATAGGTATCAGGTATCAGTAAGTACCTACTAGAACTTAGAATCCAAGCAAAACACCTGTTTTTTAGTAAGTTGGGCATGGTTGGCCATGGGCAATTCTTTGGATGGAGGGTACTTCATGCCACAGAGATCTCTCAGGTGACTCGAAGATTCTTAGCAGCTCATAGCACCTCCCTTGAAAGAACACTTTGCCAGTCTTCAGGGAGCTGCTCCACGCATGTCCGATGTTGACTGAAAAGCATGCATCAACTTCCTTCAACAAAGAACATTTCAACACAACACCGACTTCCAAGCGGGCCAACAAATTGCCACAGAAAATCCGCTACCTGCTCCACACACATCGCCCGCATCTAACCGAACTGCCACCGCACTCCACGGTCACCGGCGCTGACCAGCGCTGACCGGCGCGGACGGCGCTGGCGGGTCAGGGGGGCACCTTGAAGCTCTGCGTGAACAGCAGGCTGAAGAGGATGATCGCCTCGATAGAGAACGACAAGCACTCAATACTGGCGCCAACAATAAAAGATAATGGTTCCTACCGATGTTTCAATGTAGACATAACTGGCATATCTAAGGTCTAAATCAAATTAAATATTATATCAATATAGTATATAATCATGCCTATAAGATACAATATTTGTAATATATAACTATTTTAGGTGATTCAAGGTATATAGACTCATAGACATATAAAATCTACAATCATATACATATAGACAACAACAACCGTTGTTTTGTTGCACAGAAAACGTCACAAAACATTATTATCATCACTTATCTTCTTCGATTGTCACGTATCAAAGCACCCAACTAACACAAGAAGGAATGGCCAACACCATGGATAGCGCACGAGCATAGAAAAAACAAAAGAAACATGGCCATCACGTCTTCCGGGCTCACGGGCCCACAGGATGTGCAGAACCACTTCGAAAGTGGTGGGAAACCTGGGGCCGTGACATCGTCGGGGGGTCGACCGGTGGAGACCACCGGTAGCCTCACACACACCATCGGAGCGTCCCTTGTTCCTATAGTAAGAATGCTCCTAGTAGCAATGCCAGGAGCCCCCGATCGTAGCGTCCTTGCTCCTAGTAGCGATGCCCTTTGCTCCTAGTAGCGTCCTTGGGCAGTAGAACCTCTGGCTTGCTTGTAGAGTCCTAAAGGATCCTAATATTATCCTAATCCTTAACGGTCTAGTTTGTACCATTTGGTTCCCAACCGTCGCTGGTTGCTTGGGTTCTACTGGAAGAAACCGTCCATGAAAGCGCTGGGATGCGCCGCGACTTCGAGGGTCCCAAACCTTCCGGTTGGGGCATCGGTTGCGGAACGGGCGGATGGCTCCAAAACAAACTGAAGGTTGTCCAGAAAACATTACCATACTACCTATATACTATAGACTATAG